GGATATGTAATGACAAGCTCCCATTAGCTAGTGTTAATGTATTGTCAGTATATAAGTGTATCGAGCAGTCGGATATGTAATGACAAGCTCCCATTAGCTAGTGTTAATACATTGTCAGTATATAAGTGTATCGAGCAGTCGGATATGTAATGACAAGCTCCCATTAGCTAGTGTTAATACATTGTCAGTATATAAGTGTATCGAGCAGTCGGATATGTAATGACAAGCTCCCATTAGCTAGTGTTAATGTATTGTCAGTATATAAGTGTATCGAGCAGTCGGATATGTAATGACAAGCTCCCATTAGCTAGTGTTAATGTATTGTCAGTATATAAGTGTATCGAGCAGTCGGATATGTAATGACAAGCTCCCATTAGCTAGTGTTAATACATTGTCAGTATATAAGTGTATCGAGCAGTCGGATATGTAATGACAAGCTCCCATTAGCTAGTGTTAATACATTGTCAGTATATAAGTGTATCGAGCAGTCGGATATGTAATGACAAGCTCCCATTAGCTAGTGTTAATGTATTGTCAGTATATAAGTGTATCGAGCAGTCGGATATGTAATGACAAGCTCCCATTAGCTAGTGTTAATGTATTGTCAGTATATAAGTGTATCGAGCAGTCGGATATGTAATGACAAGCTCCCATTAGCTAGTGTTAATACATTGTCAGTATATAAGTGTATCGAGCAGTCGGATATGTAATGACAAGCTCCCATTAGCTAGTGTTAATGTATTGTCAGTATATAAGTGTATCGAGCAGTCGGATATGTAATGACAAGCTCCCATTAGCTAGTGTTAATACATTGTCAGTATATAAGTGTATCGAGCAGTCGGATATGTAATGACAAGCTCCCATTAGCTAGTGTTAATGTATTGTCAGTATATAAGTGTATCGAGCAGTCGGATATGTAATGACAAGCTCCCATTAGCTAGTGTTAATGTATTGTCAGTATATAAGTGTATCGAGCAGTCGGATATGTAATGACAAGCTCCCATTAGCTAGTGTTAATACATTGTCAGTATATAAGTGTATCGAGCAGTCGGATATGTAATGACAAGCTCCCATTAGCTAGTGTTAATACATTGTCAGTATATAAGTGTATCGAGCAGTCGGATATGTAATGACAAGCTCCCATTAGCTAGTGTTAATGTATTGTCAGTATATAAGTGTATCGAGCAGTCGGATATGTAATGACAAGCTCCCATTAGCTAGTGTTAATGTATTGTCAGTATATAAGTGTATCGAGCAGTCGGATATGTAATGACAAGCTCCCATTAGCTAGTGTTAATACATTGTCAGTATATAAGTGTATCGTGCAGTTGGATATGTAATGACAAGCTCCCATTAGCTAGTGTTAATACATTGTCAGTATATAAGTGTATCGAGCAGTCGGATATGTAATGACAAGCTCCCATTAGCTAGTGTTAATACATTGTCAGTATATAAGTGTATCGAGCAGTCGGATATGTAATGACAAGCTCCCATTAGCTAGTGTTAATGTATTGTCAGTATATAAGTGTAACGTACTGTTGGTAATCTATAGAAAAGTTCCCATTCCATGATGTTAATGCATGCATTAGTCTCAGTATATAAGTGTATCGTGCAGTTGGATATGTAATGACAAGCTCCCATTAGCTAGTGTTAATGTATTGTCAGTATATAAGTGTATCGAGCAGTCGGATATGTAATGACAAGCTCCCATTAGCTAGTGTTAATACATTGTCAGTATATAAGTGTATCGTGCAGTCGGATATGTAATGACAAGCTCCCATTAGTATAATCAGTATATAAGGGACAAGGCACAGTATATTTTCTTAAGACAATCTCCTCTTAGTTAATGCATCCATTATTGTCATATATAAGAGTAATGTGCATTTGCCGATATAACGACAAGCTCCCACTGTCTGGTGGCAATGCATGCATCATTGTCAGTGCGTAACAATGGGTGGACAGTCGGCTATCTAATGACAATATCCCAATAGCTAGTGACAAGGCATGTTTTTCTATGTAAAAAGGGAAACGACGGTATGTCATACAACGACAATCTCCATCTTCCCGAGGCAAGGGCGTCATCTGACTATAAACCTCCAGTGTCCCACATTGCTATAGTATTAATGTATGCATGATTGTAAATATGTAAGAGGAGAGGACAGTGGGCTAAAATACGATATCCTTTAGGCTATTGTCAAGCCATCCTGTCTATTTGAGTGAGTGAGTGAGTATGGTTTTACGCCGGTTTTAGCAATAGTCCAGCAATATCACGGCGGGGGACACCAGAAATGGGCTTCACACATTGTACCCATGTCGGGAATCGAACCCGGGTCTTCGGCGTGACGAGGTAAGCTTCAACCACTAGGCTGCCCGACCGCCCCTGTCTATTTGAAGTGATGCTCAGAGGATAAGGCAAAGAATACCAGCAGTGATTACATACATCGCTATGTGGGGGAGATAATGTCGATGCGATGTTAAATGTTCACCTCGCCCATTCTGTTATTACCGAAAATGTTAGGGATGATGAATGTTTTGGGGGACATCTTTTTGTAGTGAAGACTGAGCACATAATTTCATAAATATATCCCCAAAATATTCAAAACCCCTAATTACATTTGTTCAGCACACACACCCTTGTGTATGCTGTTGGGATAGCCTGTTGGTTAAAGTATTCACACGTCACGCCGAAGTCCTGGATTTATTCCCCGTGCAGATGTGTGCTTGTTGAAGCCTATTTCGGGTACCACGACGTGATACTTGCTGGGATATTGCTAAGACGGTATAAAGCCTTTCCCACTTCCTATTTGCAAAGTGTCAGCAGTATCATGGCGCGGAACACCACAAATGGGCTTCACATATTAGGGAACTCATGTTTGGAATCGAACCCGGGCCTAAGGCATGACGACCGAACGCTTTAACTACGGGGCTACTCCCCCGGCCTTCATCCTTAAGAACGTGTTTCTACTTACAAACGGTCCACATGCTTGTTATGAAACATTAATAGTCAGTCGATTTCCTGGATCGATCTGTAAGATTTGGAAAGATAGAATATGGCCTCTAAGATATATTGGACCTAGATTGAAACTGATGTGTTGCAGGTGTCACGTGTGTTGTTGACGTGTGATGTTGTTTTTGCCAGGCATGTCAATATCACTTGTACATGGTCCATCAAGCACGTGCACACATATCATATTTGTTTACACCTGTAATTATGCATGTTGTCGTCATGGTGATTGATGCAATTACACAATAAGAAATAAAAATATATAAAAATACGGTTAAGCAATACACCGGAGCCTTTGTAATAAACTGCTTGAGAAAAGAAAGAATACATCCATATTTGATGGTGATTAAAAATGAACAAACAAGAAATGGTTATTCGATGGTGATGTATTTGTACGGGTGTCTTAGTTATGTTTTCAACCGTACAGTTGTAGTGTTTCGGCCGAGTAATGTTTTGATAACATTTCTTTGGCCCTGCAGTTTATATCGACGTTTCTGTAAAAAGTAAAAAACAGCACGGTTGGTCGAGTAGTAAAGTGTCGCAGTTCACTGCTCAGAGTTGTGCCCCTTACCTGCAAGGATCTGCTAGTCGTGGTTCGAATCCCATAGCTGTGGTTTGGTGGTTTTACCAAACTGGACTACGACCTGTGTGATTTTAGACTTTTTTCGAAGACATTTATTACTTTCTCGTGTGTTTTGTTCTATACTTAAGAGAAATTATATTGTAATTGAACAATTTAAATCGTGAATACTGGGCGACTAGTTCTACTGTTAACGGAAAGGATTAACTTACGACCATTTAATTAAATGAAATAGGGTGTTTGTTGTGTGAGATTTGGTACATGGATGTCTGAATTGAAATTATCGGGGCGAGGGGTAGCCTACTGGTTAAAGTGTTCACTCATTACGTCGAATGTCCGGGTTCAAAGCCCATCTCTGATGTCCCGCGCCGTGATTTTGCTAGAATATTGCTAAGAAGCGGTGTAAAACAATAACCACTCACTCAAATCATCGCTTTGACTATTGAGGCACTGGCAGCACATTGGTCTGAGACGCCGAAAGTCGCTGTACATAATTGCTTCGCTTAGTTGTGCCAGGATCCGATGGTGGTGTATTCGCGTGGCAGCTTCGCTATGTTTATGAACCTTGGTTTCACAGCAAATTGTTAAACTGCTCAATATTAGTCTTTCTTTATTAAGGTGTCTGTGCTTTTCCACACTAATACTGGTTTTATAGTGCTAGCTCACTAAGATGCCATGCCGCAATGTTATTATTGATATCCCACTTAGACACCTTACAGCGACTTCACGCCGACCAGTCCTTTTCTATCTTTTAAGGACCGCCTCCGTGGTCTAATGGTAGAGCGTCCGCCCGGAGAGCGGAGGGTCCGGGGTTCGATCCCCAGCCGCGTCATACCAAAAGATGGTACTGTCTGGCGCTCGGCATTAAGGGGCTAAAACAAGGACTGGTCGGCTCGGATTCAGTATACTGTGTCTGAGTGGGGTTTTCATGTTAAACTGCGGCATGGTATCTCAGTGTGCTAGCACTATAAATCGGCATCAGTCCGGACTAGTACAAGCAGCCACACACACACACACACACACACACACACACACACACGTGCATGCACATCGCTATATAAGTGCAATAATCTTGGACGCGACGTTAAACCCCATTTCATCTCACCTATCCCTTTAATACCCAGACAGGGTAACAACAAGCACCATCTGTTTACGTCTTTTCGTGTGACGCGACCAGGGGATCGAAACCGACTTTCCGCTGTCTGGGCAGACGCTCTCCCTACTACACCACGGAGTCGGTCATCCTTAAGTTTGCACGCTGTAATATAATTGCACTACTGTTCAATTTGACGTAGAATACATCTCACAAATATGTGTTGCCATGTAATATTTTATTAAACTAAACCGAATGAGAATTAATGAATATATACCAGTAAACAGCAGGGACGAGGGATATAATATCTTGTCTCCTTACAGCGAAAAAGTCCCCGGATGACGCCCCTGGGCCGCCACCAATGATTGAAGTGGACAAGCCGTCAGACGAGGGCAGTGGCACTCCGACCAAACAAAGCACACAAGGTCAAATATAAGAAGCATTGTTTGCTTGTTTGTTGTTTAACGCCGCACCCACAATATTCCAGCTGTATGACGGCGGTCTGTAAATAATCAAGTCTGGACCAGATAATACAGGGATTGACATCATGAGCATCGATCTGCGCAATTGGGATACGATGACATGCATGAAGTCAGCGAGCCTGACCACCCGATCCCGTTAGTCGACAAGCATAGTCGCCTTTTACGGCAAGCATAGTCGCCTTTTACGGCAAGCATAGTCGCCTTTTACGGCAAGCATAGTCGCCTTTTACGACAAGCATAGTCGCCTTTTACGGCAAGCATGGGTTACTGAAGACCTGTTCTAGACCGGGTCTTCACGGGCCACGCAGGATTACCCATGTCACTACAAACACCCCGGAGAAGTCAGTGTGACTTCTTGTATGTTGTGATAAACCTGTGTTATTTACTTCAGAAATAAAGTTTTCTCTATCCCCACGTGTAGTGTAATAAAATATAGCTTTGCCCTGAAATATCACAGTTAAAACACGGGGCGCTTGTCGAATGCCTTGACGTTGTGATAGCTTAGTGCAAAACTATATTTCATTACACTACACATGGAGAAGAGCTAACAGGATTACTTTTCAAGGATTCCGAATCTAAGAATAACCTTTGTCAGACCATGTTTGTTCAACAAACAAGCAAACAAACCCTTCGGTATACGGTTACATTTATCGTTATATAATTTATGTAAGTACTTAATGCAAATAGGGGCGATGGGGTAGCCTAGTGGTTAAAGCGTTCGCTCGTCACACCGAAGGCCCGGGTTCGATTCCCCGTATCGGTACAATGTGTGAAGCAGATTTCTGGTGTCCCCCGCCGTGATATTGCTGCAATATTGCTAAAAGCGGCGTACAACCATACTCACTCACTCATGTGAATACTTTTACGCTGAAACGATCTGTGATTAAGCAGCGTTTGCAATGAGCGATTGATAACTACCTTTAAATCGAGGAAATGACATATATCGTTTGTCTTCAAACTAACTTATCAGCACCCCTAATATTTCCAGGACCACCAAAAGGCGCAGTTGCACCGGAACCAGAGCCTCCACTGGAACCGGATATAGATGAAAGCAACAAGCACGCCGTGACCTTGGAGGTTCACGGCAAGAAGGTTAAGGTCGTTCAGCCAGAGGCATACAAAGACTCTTCCCTACCTATAGACCCGCCCCAGGAGAGGCTACAGCTGGACTGGGTGTAAGTCTTCACTGCGCTACCGCAAGTTATATAAAACGCTTCTACTATTATGTATAAATACGTATTTTCCGTCAGACGATCAAACATTAAAGTCAGACAAATCTCTTGTTTCTTCCATTCAACATCACTAATTGAATAGTCTATCAATACATGTTCATGTGTTTTACTAAACAACTCCTCACCCGTGAAGATCCGGCTAGAGAATAGGTCTTCAGCAACCCATGTTTGCCATAAAAGGCGACTATGCTTGTAGTAAGAGGCGACTAACGAGACAGGTGGTCACTTTGGCTGACTTTGTTGATGCATGTCATCGTATCCCAATTGCGTGGATCGATGCTCATGATACCAATCACTGGATTGTCTGGCCCAGACTCGATTATTTACAGACCGCCGTCATATAGCTGGACTATTGTTGAGTACGGATATTAAACAAACAAACAAACAAACAAACAAATAAAACAAGTTTAAGCTTCATGATTATACAATGCAAGAAAATCAAAACATAAAAGGTCAAATTTGGAAAAATTGGAAATGAAAGTTCTGACAAGAGATATCGATACTTAGGTATGGTTACCGTGGCAACGACTGTCGATGCAACATCTACATCCTGGACAACGACGAGATCATCTACTTCATCTCCAACATCGCTGTCATGTACAACCGTGACGTCCACACACAACGTCACTACAAGGAACACACGGAAGACATCAAGTGGTCAGTACAACCGCCCCAAACTTTTGATGGATTTTCTCGAAAACTTGGTCCACAGATATACTCCTGTGGACATCCTGGGTCAGAATAGGCCCCTTCGCTGGTCGCACGAGGCGTTCGTGAAGGTCCGGGTTATAATTGTTCTTCAGCAACTCATGCTTGTCGTACGAGGCGTTCGTGAAGGTCCGAGTTAGAATTGGTCTTCAGCAGCCCATGCTTGTCGTAAGAGGCGTTCGTGAAGATCCGGGTTAGAATTGGTTCTCAGCAACTCATACTTGTCGTAAGAGGCGTTCGTGAAGGTCCGGGTTAAAATTGGTCTTCAGCAACCCATGCTTGTCGTAAGAGGCTCGCTGGCTTGGTTGATGCATGTTATCGTATCCCAGTTGCCTAGATTGATGCTCACGATGTCATTCACTAGATTGCATTATCGATTATTCACTGACTACCGTCAGATAACTGGAGTATTGCGAGTGCCGCGTTAAACAACAAACAAATATAATCGTACTTCGTGTTTGACAAGGGTAAGATTTCCAATTTCAGAAATCCGATTTTTCTGTTTCGTCCCAAGATATGAAAAATATTTATGTATTATTACATGGCTTCAGTTGACATTCTTCGTGCTGTTTCAGTATGGCCGTCCATTCCAACGGCAACATAGTAGCCACTGGTCAGTATGCGGGGAAGAAGGATGACAAGTCGCAGGTAAGTAGGCAATTTACCACCCTGGTACGTCAAGCTAAGTGTCACCCTGAGAACACACCGTGTGGGTAAAGCTCTGCACATCACGCCGTCAACCGTTCGAATCCCAAATGAATACAGGGGTCGTAATAAGAGTGGAAATTGTCAAAGAGATGCAATTTTTTCAAGGTTCAGTTAAAAAATACCCAACATCATGACTAAAATTGATTTGAAATTATTCCCAATATTTGGCCCTAGAGCTCCACACTTTGGCCGTGCGTGTTGTTAGTATGTTATTCCCCCGTGGGGATACAGGATGAGAATAAGTCCCCGGCAAGCTATTCTGGGCGACTGCATGGGTCTGGTGACCAGGCTCCGTGACTTGGTTGAGTGCGTGTCATTGTTCCCCGTGTTGCCATTGTTCCCCGTGTTGCCATTGTTCCCATTGTTCCCCGTGTTGCCATTGTTCCCATTGTTCCCCGTGTTGCCATTGTTCCCCGTGTTGCCATTGTTCCCCGTGTTGCCATTGTTCCCATTGTTCCCCGTGTTGCCATTGTTCCCCGTGTTCCCATTGTTCCCCGTGTTGCCATTGATCCCCGTGATGCCATTGATCCCCGTGTTGCCATTGTTCCCCGTGTTCCCATTGTTCCCCGTGTTGCCATTGTTCCCATTGTTCCCCGTGTTGCCATTGTTCCCCGTGTTGCCATTGTTCCCCGTGTTGCCATTGTTCCCCGTGTTGCCATTGTTCCCATTGTTCCCCGTGTTGCCATTGTTCCCCGTGTTGCCATTGTTCCCATTGTTCCCCGTGTTGCCATTGTTCCCCGTGTTCCCATTGTTCCCTGTGTTCCCATTGTTCCCCGTGTTGCCATTGATCCCCGTGTTGCCATTGTTCCCATTGTTCCCCGTGTTGCCATTGTTCCCATTGTTCCCCGTGTTGCCATTGTTCCCCGTGTTGCCATTGTTCCCCGTGTTGCCATTGTTCCCCGTGTTGCCATTGTTCCCCGTGTTCCCATTGTTCCCCGTGTTGCCATTGTTCCCCGTGTTGCCATTGTTCCCCGTGTTGCCATTGTTCCCATTGTTCCCCGTGTTGCCATTGTTCCCCGTGTTGCCATTGTTCCCCGTGTTGCCATTGTTCCCATTGTTCCCCGTGTTGCCATTGTTCCCCGTGTTGCCATTGTTCCCCGTGTTGCCATTGTTCCCCGTGTTGTCATTGTTCCCCGTGTTGCCATTGTTCCCATTGTTCCCATTGTTCCCCGTGTTGCCATTGTTCCCATTGTTCCCCGTGTTGCCATTGTTCCCCGTGTTGCCATTGTTCCCCGTGTTCCCATTGTTCCCCGTGTTGCCATTGTTCCCATTGTTCCCCGTGTTGCCATTGTTCCCATTGTTCCCCGTGTTGCCATTGTTCCCATTGTTCCCCGTGTTGCCATTGTTCCCCGTGTTGCCATTGTTCCCCGTGTTCCCATTGTTCCCCGTGTTGCCATTGTTCCCCGTGTTGCCATTGTTCCCCGTGTTGCCATTGTTCCCATTGTTCCCCGTGTTGCCATTGTTCCCCGTGTTGCCATTGTTCCCATTGTTCCCCGTGTTGCCATTGTTCCCCGTGTTCCCATTGTTCCCCGTGTTGTCATTGTTCCCCGTGTTGCCATTGTTCCCATTGTTCCCCGTGTTGCCATTGTTCCCCGTGTTGCCATTGTTCCCATTGTTCCCCGTGTTGCCATTGTTCCCATTGTTCCCCGTGTTGCCATTGTTCCCCGTGTTCCCATTGTTCCCCGTGTTGTCATTGTTCCCCGTGTTGCCATTGTTCCCATTGTTCCCCGTGTTGCCATTGTTCCCCGTGTTGCCATTGTTGCCATTGTTCCCCGTGTTGCCATTGTTCCCCGTGTTGCCATTGTTCCCATTGTTCCCCGTGTTGCCATTGTTCCCCGTGTTGCCATTGTTCCCCGTGTTGCCATTGTTCCCCGTGTTGCCATTGTTCCCATTGTTCCCCGTGTTGCCATTGTTCCCCGTGTTCCCATTGTTCCCCGTGTTGTCATTGTTCCCCGTGTTGCCATTGTTCCCATTGTTCCCCGTGTTGCCATTGTTCCCCGTGTTGCCATTGTTCCCATTGTTCCCCGTGTTGCCATTGTTACCATTGATCCCCGTGGATCGTTGCTCATAATATCAATCACTGGTGGGTCTGGTCCAGACTCGACTATTTAGAGGTCGCCGTCATATAGCTGGGATATTGCTGAGTGCGGTGTTAAAGGACAAACCAACCTAAAGAGCACCATCTGTTGTTGTAGGCACACATCCGGGTGTGGCGGGCCGACACCCTGGGGACGGTCCATGTCCTGGGTCTGGGAAACTTCATCAAGGCCGTCATGTGCCTCTCCTTCCAGAAGGACTCGGTAGGTTGATGGACACACGGAGGACGGACTTCCGTTGTTGGGATGACTATTATGGAATCCTTGAAGGGACATTGTCGCCCTAACAAAAAAAAAGCAAAACGAGTCATAAATTAATCACAGTGCGACAATGCGACATTTTGGCCACGCGACAATGCGGCAATGGCCCTTCTAGGATTCCATACAATAAAGATAGTTACCGAGAGATGAAAGTTATGGACATTTTATATGAATTGATGTAACTACCAAGCATGCATTACTGATGTTTGATCTTTCGTGATCATCAGGGGAGGGTTTAATCTGTTCTAACGGATTTTCTGCAAAAGTCGATACTGACGAACATGTGAATTTGTTTGGTCTTACGTGCTTGCTGTAGTTGAACACAACCAAACCCTAGATTTGCTAAGGAATGTTTTAGACGGTGTGAGTTCATGACAAAACGAAACGTTGTTTTTGTGTAGCGCTGCTTTTGTGAACCTTGTGTAGAATGTCACAACACGAAACAATGTGAGTTAGTATGGTTTTACGCCGCTTTTAGCAATATTTTAGCAATATCTCAGCAGGTGACACCAGAAATGGGCTTCACACATTTTACCCATGTGGGGAGAGAGAACCAGGGTTTGGGGCATGACGAGCGAACGCGTTAACCACTAGGCTACCCCACCGCCCGTCACATTGTCATATGTGTGAGGGTACTAAATGATGTGACCATATGACCTTGACCTGGAGCGTAGTGAAGTGACCTTGGTATTCAGTGGTACGACGTGAGCTTGATATGACCTTTGAGATCTTTATCGCCTCCAGGATCTGCTCGCGGCGGTGGACAACAGTCAGGAGAAGACGCTGTCCCTGTGGAACGTGGCTGACGGCACCCATGTTGCCAGCACCGTGGTACGTCAAGCTAAGTGTCAATATTTATTCTTTATTATCCTGACTGTTGAAGGCCTAGTTATATGAACATAATAATTGAATAGACCGGCTCCTTGTGTTATGGACAGAGCATCTGCCGGAAAGCGGAAGGTCGGTGGTTCGACCTTCTGACCATTTCATACCAAAGGGCCTAGCGCTAGGCACTAAGGGAATAAAATGAGGACTGGCTGGGTCGTGGTATAATGTGTCTATGTTGGGTTTCATGTTAAACTGCGGCATGGTATCACAGTGGCCTGGCAATATAACAACGCTTGGTCATACAATTATGATAAATATCTACCCATTATCTAGCATTGCTCCGTTTTAAATCCCTATTTGATTGTCTTGACTCTGTCGTCAACCGTCCAATCATGATAACGATTTGCCCCTGGGCATTTATCACTATAGTTTGTTTGTTTGTTGATGGGCACTAATCTCTGGCTTCTTTCCGGCTGTCTGACACAAGCTGATCGGGCTCACTATCTGCTGTGTTTGTTTGTTGTTTAACGCCGCACTCAGCAATATTCCAGGTATATGACGGCGGTCTGTAAATAATCGAGTCTGGACCAGACAACCCAGTGATTAATATCATGAACATCGATCCACTCAATTTGGATACGGTGGCATGCATCAACCAAGTCAGCGAGCCTGACCACTCGATCCCGTCAGTCGCCTCTTACAAGCATAGTCGCCTTTTACGACAAACATGGGTTGCTGAAGACCTATTCTACCCCGGATCTTCACGGGTGTTTATCGATATAGAATAAAGATGTTCTACACAGGATAATCGAGGTGGGTAGGCAGGTAAACCACCAAAGTTATATCAAGCTGTGACAGACCGTCCTCGTGACACTGCATTACAAAACCCATTCAACTGCAGTACAGAAGCAGCGAGACCCTCCCCTCTCCTACACATACCCTTCTGTGTTTCAGCTGCACGTGGACGTCATCTGCGACATTGGCTTCAACCCCCACCACACCGACCTGCTGGTGTCTATTGGCAAGGAACATCTGGCCTGGTGGAAGGTCTATCCGGAGACCAATAAGATAACCACACACGCCAAACCGGAGTACGATGTAAGCTTCTGATGTTGCTTGATACTTAGCGATATTCACGTATATTAAAAGCCAGTCTCATCTATCTGTTTCCCCTGGGAAACCCAGAGCAGCATAAACCCCTTGTCATTACATTCTTCATAAATCCAATAATAGAAAAATGACCTTTAATATGCTTTCAAGTACAACTGTCTGACATGTTGTGATTTACTAACTGTACATGACATCATTTTTCAAGATGGCCGCCATTGGACAAACCTGCGATGAGAGAGAGAATTTATGGATGTCAACTTCTTTATTATGAGGAGGGGGCACAAGTGGCCAAGTCGTCTAAGGCGGTGCAGTTGGGCACGCCAGAAATATATAATTGTGGGTTCGAATCCCGGTTCGGCCCAATTATGTTTCTAGGTTTGTCAGCACCATACCCGTGCTCGTGTGTTTCACCGAAGTGGTAAACGTCTGAAACCTGCATCTGCATCACTTCTGGCTTTCCTCCCACATTAAGCTGACACGCCGTAATATAACTGGCATACTGTTAAAAAGCGGCGTTGAACCCAACTCACTCACTCACTCACTTTATTATGAGGAAGACAACGTTTCGGAGTGCATACTTACTCCTTCATCATCTTCATTCACCCGATGAAGGAGTAAGTATGTACCCCGAAACGTTGTGTTCCTCATGATAAAGAAGCTGACATCCATAAATTATCTTCCTTATGTGTATCACTTCTAAATGCCATTCAAAGACTTAAGTGATGATTTGTTAGCCTTAAATACTCGTTTGTACATAGTTTTATTTTGTATAATTGCATTTTTTTATCATAAAATTCCTGGCTGAACCGAGTCACCCTGCCATTTGTGTATCATTGCTCATGCTATCAACCACTGGTTTCGATTATCAACTCTCCGCCTTCTTATGGCTTGAATGCTTCTCATTGCGGCGTAAACCTACACACTACATATGACTTGTTAAAGCCCCACCCTGACTATATAGAGCCCACAAGGTGGCGGTGTTTCAGTGACTGGCAGCGTAAACACAACTGAATGTCGAGAGAAGCTTTTTGAAAACCGTACGAAAACAAAATCTCCAAAGACCGCCAAACTTCGTATGAACTTGAATGACAAAACCATGGATACCAGAAATGGCTCCATATCTAGATAAAAGTCAATAAAGTTTCTAAAGATCCTAAAAAATCGAATCAGTCGTGTCACAGTGGGCGGAGCTTATCTACGGTTGCGCTATAATCCCTATGACAATACCTATGACCTTTTGAGCAGTATAACAACAACCAGAAATGGCTCCATATCTGGATATTAGTCAATAAAGTTTCTGTAGTTTATCATAAAAAATCGCGCCTGTCTCAATCACGGTGGGCGGAGCTTATCTACGGTTGCGCTATAATCCCTATGACAATCCCTATGACCTTTTGAGCAGTATAACAACCCTAGAAACTGTTTATGTCTGTACTCACGAAGTGCGTGTGCCTCTGCTTGCAGAATTACCTCCGGGCCAAGTTCGTCATTTGTCTGACCCACACAGACAAGGGAGACCTCGTCACCGGCGACTCAAACGGCACCATCTACGTTTGGGGAGACGGCGGCAACAAGATCACCAACTTCGTCAAGCATGGACATGATGTAGGTGTAGTCACCCGATACGCAGCCGGCTGCGACCACCCCGCCAACAGCGTGTCGCAAAGTTGCGGCCTGGTTAGACTTAGGACCGCGTAATTTGGCATTCTTGTTACTAGTTAGAAGTACCGGTGCTTTGAGTTAGTGAATATGGTTTTACGCCACCTTTAGGGGACACCAGAAATGGGCTTCACACATTGTACCCATAACGGGAATCGAACCCGTGATATTGCTGGAATATTGCTAAAAGCGGCGTAAAACCATACTCACACACATTGTTTCGTGAGGGTGTACTACTGTGTTTGCAGGGCCCGGTGTTCACAGTGCTACATCACCGCCACCACCTGGTGTCCGGCGGGCGGGACGGGGTCATGTACAGTTGGCAGTGGACCAAGAACATGGACGGGGCCGGGAAAGTCGAGGTAACAATTTATACCGTATTTCCTCCATTAGACGCCCAGGCTTCTATATATTTCGGACAAGCCTTTGACCCGGCGTCAATTAGAGGCCGGGCTTCTATTTTTTGCACTGAACAATTGACCTGGCTTCTATTAGAGGCCCGGCGTCTAATAGAGGAAATACGGTACACTTTACCGCTTGTTGTTGTACAATGTCGACAGGGAAAGGTGATGACTTCATGAACCAGGGTAGCCCAGTGGATGAAGTGTTTGCTGGTCCCGCCTCATGGATTACATATTCCAATAACGTCTTTGAAAGGCATTTAACGCCGATACACATAAGGAAGAGAATTTATAGATGTCAACTTCTTTATTATGACGTACACGACGTTTCGGATAATATATGCTGCGTGTGTGTGTGTGTGTGTGTGTGTGTGTGTGTGTGTGTGTGTGTGTGTGTGTGTGTGTGTGTGTGTGTGTGTGTGTGTGTGTGTGTACATGTCAGAACAACAAAAATAATAAGATCACAAGAGATGGAAACTTAACAAGGGAAGCCAACAGGTAATTGGTGCTGATAGGTGATTAGCAATAGACAATGCAGCCAACACTTTACAGTAATTAGCGCTGATAGGTATGGACCACTGGAAGCCAGGACGTAAATGGCATTCATTCACCTAATGAGTGAGTGGGTATGGCTTTACGCCGCTTTTAGCAATATTCCAGCAATATCACGGCGGGGGACACCAGAAATGGGTTTCACACTTTGTACCCATGTCGGGAATCGAACCCGGGTCTTCGGCATGTTGAGCGAACGCTTTAACCACTGGGCTACCCCACCGCCCCCATTCACCTGATGAAGAAGTAAGCATATACTCCGAAACGTTGTGTCCCTCGTGATAAAGAAGTTGACATCAATAAATTCTGCTCCTAAAACTCCAATACGCTGTTTGAATCGTGGAGTAGTTAGTTTGGAGGAATCAAGGGTTGTCTGTCCCGAGGCTCTTCGAATACAGCACCGTACAGCCCTTGTAAACAAAGGGTAAAATAGTTTTCACGTGTTAGGATATTTTCTTAATGACAGTTACCGTTTTATAACGTATGTTGATCTAAATGTGTAGACTTTTCAAAATGAAAAACAAGTATTTTGTTGAAAGGATTGTGAGATGTCCCGACCGCAAGGAGCTCTGAGTTGGAGAGTGTGGAAACGGCATGAAACCATCATTACTGAACATAATCGCATCGGTTCTTGCCGTCCTCATGCGTGTATCTTGGTGATGATATCAAAGAGTCATTAAACAACCCCTCATCTGTTGCAGATTTCCAAGTCGGAGGGCGGAGTCAGGATGATTCAGATACACAAAGAGACTCTTCTCTTAGGAACCACCATGAACTCCTTGTTGTCTGTCGTCATGGCAACGAAAGGATCCCCGCTTGATGGCGCTACACTTGAGATGTTGCCTCTTACACAGGTAAAGATAACCCTCTGTATGGACACAAACTTAAAGTATTAGCAGACAGGCCAAGCACTAGCCTATCGTCGTGATTATGTCATGTTTTCTATGCTGGTGCGCTAAAAGCTCAGGTGTGGATTGTGAGAATATGCGGGAAATTCCCACCTATGCATGAAATGTACTTGTCCGAAATTGCCTAGGTCGGATTCTTTTGAGGGAGTCATCATCAACATGTAAATGTTTTTAATGCTTGTACATTTTATCATCATCCCCAATGAGGCTGTACATAGAGGTGAAATAATGCCTATGCGACGTTAAATCTTAACTCACTCGCATAATGTTGCCGACCCGTGAAGATCCGGGGTAGAATAGGTCTTCGGCAACCCATGCTTGCCGGAAAAGGCGACTATGCTTGTCGTAAGAGCTGACTAACGGGATCGGGTGGTCAGGCTTGCTGACTTGGTTGTTGCATGTCATCGCGTGTCCCAATTGCGTGGATCGATGCGCATGATCTCAATCACTGGATTATCTGGTCCAGACACCATTAGTTACAGACCGCCGTCATATAGCTGAAGTATTGCGGAGTGTGGCGTTAAACAAACAAACAAAACAAAACATAATGTTGCCATCTCATACAAGAAATACACGACTCGTGTTCGTTGTTTATCGTACAATAAAACACTGCAGGGAAAATATACCACTCGGGGTTTATTCTCCCTGCAGTGCTTTATTGTACGATAAACAACTCCCACTTGTCCCATTTATATCCGCACGTGTGTTATATCTACAACGTATTACATTGTTCGTATTTCAGGGACATTTTGATGAGCTGCGAGGGCTGACGACGATGCCCCAGTCATTCATCGGAGCAGATTTCCTGACAGCTGGGGTGGATGGCATCATCTGCAAGTTCAGCACTGAGATCCATCAACCTGTGTGGAAAATAGTCATGAAGGTAGAAACCTGTACGGGTACCTAGTCGTCTACATTGCCACAAGAGTTGCGTCCCTTAGGCGTCCCAGGAACCTACGAGTTTTAAAGTGTTAATCGCTTAGGTCTTATTTGCTTTGGGCTTTGCTCCCACATCAAGCTGACTCGCTGTAATATAACTGAAATACTGTTAAAAATGTCGAAAGTCCCAACTCACCCACTTATACCTCTTATGGGGTTATACTTGGCTTCAAAATTCAGTATGTTAACGCCAGAGAATAATCAGTCTCGATAATCTGCTGAAACAGATTCCTTAGGGCGTAAAAGACAAAATGGTACTGAAAATAATAGGAATGGATCACGGAAAACCGGGTGTTCACGAAGAGTTTGCATGTCCTGATTTATCCATATCAAAGTACGATCTAAGATGCTAGGCGAATTATACAACGCTCAGTTGGGTATTTATAGATGTATGTTGAGGTGACACTCGGGACTAACAGAGGTATGCCGTCAGCATAACAAAGATATAGCAATAATTAGTTGTGTAGGGTATTTTAAGGGTATATTCGGGTGTTTTAACGCTGTGATGCGTCAGTGGTACAAAGATGTAGCAATAATTAGTTGTGTTGGGTATTTTAAGGGTATATTCAGGTATTTTATCGCTGTGATGCGTCAGTGGTACAAAGATATAGCAATAATTAGTTGTGTGGGGTATTTTAAGGGTATATTCGGGTGTTTTAATGCTGTGATGCGTCAGTGGTACAAAGATGTAGCAATAATTAGTTGTGTAGGATATTTTAAGGGTATCTTCGGGTATTTTAAGGATGTGATGCGTCAGTGGTACAAAGATGTAGCAATAATTGGTTGTGTAGGGTATTTTAAGGGTATCTTCGGGTATTTTAACGCTGTGATGCGTCAGTGGTACAAAGATATAGCAATAATTGGTGGTGTAGGGTATTTTAAGGGTATATTCGGTTGTTTTAACGCTGTGATGCGTCAGTGGTACAAAGATGCAGCAATAATTGGTTGTGTAGGGTATTTTAAGGGTATATCGGGTGTTTTAACGCTGTGATGCGTCAGTGGTCCAAAGATGTAGCAATAATTGGTGGTGTGGGGTATTTTAAGGGTATATTCGGGTATTTTAACGCTGTGATGCGTCAGTGGTACAAAGATGTAGCAATAATTGGTTGTGTAGGGTATTTTAAGGGTATATTCGGGTATTTTAACGCTGTGATGCGTCAGTGGTACAAAGATGTAGCAATAATTGGTTGTGTAGGGTATTTTAAGGGTATCTTCAGGTATTTTAACGCTGTGATGCGTCAGTGGTACAAAGATATATTACCGTCTGTGTTGTGCAGACTATTTTAAGGGTTATGAATACACCGGAAGCCGTGCCAATTTACATTTGTCAGAGGGGTATGCAAAGTGCGTGATCTAGACTACCAGATGTCGGACTTTCATTTTTGTGGAAGCACCGGTGGCTGAGTGGGTTATATCGCTGGTATTGTGTGCCGGCGATCAGGTGCCTCACTCTGGCAGTGTGGGTTCGAATCCCGGACTGGACTCAGCCCAAAACAGTACGAGAATCTGTACTTTACTAAGAAAGTGTTATCCCAAATATGACATTTGTTATATTTTAAGGGTTGGTTAAGGTTTTTGTTTGGTTTGGTTTGGTTTGTTGTTTAACGCCGCACTCAGCAATATTCCAGCTATATAACGGCGGTCTGTAAATAATCGAGTCTGGACTAGACAATCCAGTGATTGATATCATGAGCATCGATCCACGCAATTGGGATCGATGACATGCATCAACCAAGTCAGCGAGCCTGACCACCCGATCCCGTTAGTCGCCTTTTACGACAAGCATAGTCACCTTTTACTGCAATCATGGGTTGCTGAAGACCTATTCTACCCCGGAATCTTCACGGGTAGGTTGGTTAAGATATGCTAACGCTATGATGTGTTTATGTTCCTAGGGGGCAACCTTCCTGTGTGCAGACTGCAGCATTGACGGCAAACTCCTGGTGTTGGGAACACACGACGGACAGTATGTTGAACAATGCATCTAAGTCATCTTACTAACATTATATCCCATGTTATCTTGTACAATTCTAAAGTAACTACGAATATATTTTACCTCTAATTAGCCAATATCTTGTGCTTTACCTAATCCTCCGAACCGACCAATGGTATGTCGATCACTGAGTCTGACCACCCGATCTATTCAGCTAGGTTGCTGAGGACCAGTTCTCACACGAATCTCCAGGGGCATGTATGCCTCACGGTGCTAATACCTGTGTCAGAATGATTGGACCGCTTCCGTGGTCTAGTGGATAGACTGTTGGCCCGAAGAGCGGAAGGTCGGTGGTTCGATCCCCGACCGTGTCTTACCAATAATTTTAAAAGAAGGCACTTGTTGTTTCCCTGCCTGGTGCTCGACATTAAGGGGAGAAAACCGGCATTTGTTGGACATGTCAAAGCAGACACAAACACACACACGCTGCTATATATGTGCAATAACATGAAACCAAACGTTAAACCCCATCTCTTGTTTATTTGTTTGTTTGTTTGTTGTTTAACGACGCACTCAGCAATATTCCAGCTATATGACAGCGGTCTGTAAATAATCGAATCTGGACCAGACAATCCAGTGATTGAGATCATGAGCTTCAATCCTTGCATTTGGGATACGATGACAAGCATCAACCAAGTCAGCGAACCTGACCCCCCGATCCCGTTAGTCGCCTCTTACGACAAGCATAGTCGCCTTTACGGCGAGACCTATTCTACCCCGGATCTTCACGGATCTAAACCCCATTTCACCTACCTTACTTGCATTGCAGCCTCGTGATCCTGGGGTTGGACGCGGAGGATCTGTCGGTCACGGAGGTCTGCAACAAGAAGATCTCCAAGGACAGACTGGACTCCATCAGACTAGCCCCGGGTAAGTGTTGGTTTGTTGTAAAACGCCCTACTCAACGATATCTCAGGTCCCATCGTTTCTGCACCATACAAACCAGTGATTGACACGCAGTTGGGACACCACGTCATGTATCAACCAAGTCACCGATGACCACAGATCCATTTAGTCGGATCTTGCGACAAGCATGGGTTGCTGGGGACCTATATTCCTACCTAGTTACCCACTGGCTTCCGACCGCCTCCATGGTCTAGTGGTAGAGCGTCCGCCGGAGAGCGGAAGGTACGGGGTTTGATCCCCGGCCGCGTCATACCAAAAAACGTTAAAAGATGGTACTTGTTGTTACCCTGTCTGGCGCTCGGCATTAAGGGGCTAAAACAAGGACTGGTCGGCTCGGAGTCAGTATACTGTATCTGAGTGGGGCATTCATGTTAAACTGCGGCATGGTATCTCAGTGAGCTAGCACTATAAATCGGCATGAGTCCGGACTAGTACAAGCAGCCACACAAACACACACACGTGTATGCACTCGTTATATAAGTGCAATAATCTTTGACGCGACGTTAAACCCCATTCCACCTCACCTCACCTCACTGGCTTCCAAGATGAGGTACTGGGCTCTGTTCCATAAAGTGATCGTAGTACTACGACTCTCGTACGTCTATGTTAAAGTATGGGAGTTACGATCATCAGGGCCCTACGATCATCTGGGCGCTACGATCATCAGGGCGCTACGATCATCAGGGCGCTACGATCATCTAGGCGCTACGATCATCTGGGCGCTACGATCATCTGGGCGCTACGATCATCAGGGCGCTACGGTCATCTGGGCGGTACGATCATCAGGGCGCTACGATCATCAGGGCGCTACGATCATCAGGGCGCTACGATCATCTGGGCGCTACGATCATCAGGGCGCTACGATCATCTGGGCGCTACGATCATCTGGGCGCTTCGATCATCTGGACGCTACGATCATCTGGGCGCTACGATCATCTGGGCGCTACGATCATCAGGGAGTTACGATCATCAGGGCGCTACGATCATCTGGGCGCTACGATCATCAGGGCGCTACGATCACCAGGGCGCTACGATCATCTGGGCGCTACGATCATCTGGGCGCTACGATCATCTGGGCGCTACGACCATCAGGGCGCTACGATCATCTGGGCGCTACGATCATCAGGGCGCTACGATCATCTTGACGCTACGATCATCTGGGCGCTACGATCATCTGGGCGCTACGATCATCAGGGCGCTACGATCACCAGGGCGCTACGATCATCTGGGCGCTACGATCATCTGGGCGCTACGATCATCTGGGCGCTACGACCATCAGGGCGCTACGATCATCTGGGCGCTACGATCATCAGGGCGCTACGATCATCTTGACGCTACGATCATCTGGGCGCTACGATCATCGGGGCGCTACGATCATCAGGGAGTTACGATCATCTGGGCGCTACGATCATCAGGGAGTTACGATCATCTTGACGCTACGATCATCTTGGCGCTACGATCATCTTGACGCTACGATCATCTGGGCGCTACGATCATCAGGGAGTTACGATCATCTGGGCGCTACGGTCATCTGGGCGCTACGATCATCAGGGAGTTACGATCATCTTGGCGCTACGGTCATCTGGGCGCTACGATCATCTGGGAGTTACGATCATCTGGGCGCTACGGTCATCTGGGCGCTACGATCATCAGGGAGTTATGATCATCTGGGCGCTACGGACATCTGGGCGCTACGATCATCAGGGAGTTACGATCAATTGGGCGCTACTGTCATCTGGGCGCTACGATCATCTGGGCGCTACGGTCGCTTTGTGGAACAGGGCCCTGGAAAAAGGGTGTCATCTAGGAGATAAACAGTTATGTTACCTTTGACGACAAGCAGCGTGGCCTCAACATCTTGATCCTAGCGCAGTCACATCCAATGTATTTCACTTTTTAAGACAACTACGTGATAACTCGCAAAAAACAGTGAAGAACGAAGCGTGGTTTATTTCACGATAAAACATTGTTCTATCATGACGTTATTTCTGGAGATTCGAACATGCGCTCGCAACTTAATGACGTCGTATGTTTGACGACGTTAATTTTGAGAGGGGAATGTCTTGTGAGTTGTTCCTCATAGATGTAGCTGAGCAACGCAGATAAACGCGATGGCCGAACGATCGTATCTTAAAGAAATATGGCAATCGTTATTGGGAGTAAAGGTACAGGTCATTGACGTGAGGATTGTGAGAATATGCGGGAAATACCCACCTGTGCATAAAAAGGTCTTTTCCGACATTGCCGAGATCGGATTCTGTTGAGGGAGTGAACATTATTTAAATACGGGCAATTATTTTTAAATCTTGTACGTTTTAGTAAAGAGGCTGTACATACTGTTTCTATCTCATATAAGAAATAAATGCCCCGTGGTCGTTGTTTATCGTACAATGCGCCCATCATGGTTTATTCTCCATGCAGCATTTTATTGTACGATAAACAACTCCCACTTGTCGTTTGTTTCTTAAATAAATGAGAAACACACACCGCGCTTTCGCTTTAGATCCATGTTACCTGTAACTTATCGAGTGACTATTTGAAGTTTCAAATGTAGCTCATTCAAATCTAATGGGACGCTGTTTCAGACTGCGCGTCCCTGGCGGTGGGGGGTCACGACAGGGCGGTGTACATCTACTCCCTGCAGGATAAAGAGGAGGGGGACAAGGCCTGGGAAATGCTCGGCAAGTGCAAGGTGAGTACATAGAAAGTTGCTCTTCTATTTTAATCACCAACACGTACATGGCCGATTTTCACCTCACAAAAACGTAACAATTTATCCCATATACTACTCAGAGTTTGCTAAGGATCACATGACCGTGTTTTTTGTATGTTCCACTTCGCCGCTATTGTAACCTTCTGTTTAGGGTCACCGCGGACCGGTCACCGCCATCGACTGGTCAAGAGAGAAGGTCGGCAACACGCACCTGCTCAGGTCAAGCTCGACGACTCCTGAGCAGTTCTTTTGTATGTGTCGTCACTAACCCATTGTTACTGTTCTTATATTGGAGAAGCCATATCTATACGTAGAGTCGGTATAAACATTTTCGAGGTTGTTAATCATGAGTATATTATAAGCCACTGCATTTAGTAGCGTGCCTCTTGAATGATTGACGTGATTGACTCTGGGGCGTAAAGGAAGGGAGTCTAATGCCCTACATTTCTGATGATTGACTCGGTGACTAGGGTAGGGAGCCTAGTAACCTACATCTTTAATGATTGACATGATTGACTGTGACGAGGGTAGGGAGCCTAGTAACCTACATCTTTAATGATTGACGTGATTGACTGTGACGAGGGTAGGGAGCCTAGTAACCTACATCTTTAATGATTGACGTGATTGACTGTGACGAGGGTAGGGAGCCTAGTAACCTACATCTTTAATGATTGACGTGATTGACATGATTGACTGTGTGACGAGTGTAGGGAGCCTAGTAACCTACATCTTTAATGATTGACGTGATTGACTCTGGGGCGTAAGAGAAGGGAGTCTAATGGCCAACGTCTCTGATGATTGACTCTGTGACTAGGGTAGGGAGCCTCGTAACCTACATCTTTAATGATTGACATGATTGACTGTGGGACGAGGGTAGGGAGCCTAGTAACCTACATCTTTAATGATTGACGTGATTGACTCTGGGGTGTAAGGGAAGGGAGTCTAATGGCCAACGTCTCTGATGATTGACTCGGTGACTAAGGTAGGGAGCCTAGTAACCTACATCTTTAATGATTGACATGATTGACTCTGTGGCGTGTGTTGACAGGGAATCCAACGACGTGTGCGCGGGAGGAGGGAAAGAACGCAGTGTCGCTGTCATGGTGCACCAGCAACTGCACCGTGGACTACGCTGTCGCTGGTGGGTACAACATGTAGATTTGTTTGGGAAATGTAGGGTTGTTACCTGTAACCTTTACCTGGTTACTTGAAATTGGAGCCAACATTTATTCTGCACCCCTAAAAACTAAACAAGTCTTGCAAGGTTTCACTGTCTAACACACGTCACTATTGTGACGTCACACCGCTCAAGAGGTAACGTCCCTGTCGGAAATAGAAAAGTGCCAGATTGTATCCCCATATTCCCCGAAAAAATAAACCTTGAAAAGAACTCTCTGTGCATGGCCACGCAGACGTTGCATTTGATAATATACGAGTACAAGTGTTCACAAAGCCTACCGACAATGATTGAGAAAGAAGTACGTTCTATTAATATTAGCCTCGGTGGTAACGCGGCGTCAAATCAGCTGTTTCAATCAAAAGTAGTTATTGTGATTTAAAACCTCTGATTGACCAATCAGAATCGTTTATTTTCCAAGATGTTTTTACGCTGCACTCAGCAATGTTACAGTTACGGCGGCCTGTAAATAGCTGAGTCTTGATTGATATTAAGAGCCACGATTCACCACGATGGGATACGATGACATGTAATGAACCAAGCCTACGAGACAAACCATCCAATCCATGCAGTCGTCTCTACAACAAGCATAGGTTGCTGGGGCTTACTTTAAACCCGAACCCCCACGGGGCAAGGGCATGCGTAATCAACGAGAGTACCACAGAAACCATGCTGCCTCAGCTACAAAGTAGCAGCAAAATATTGTTGTCACAATTAGTTATTGCAGGGCCACTGATGGTGCATAGTTGTGTACCAGGTGTGTCTGTGTTGACCAGGTGTGTCTGTGTTGACCAGGTGTTTGTTTGTGTTGACCAGGCGTGTTTGTGTTGTCCAGGTGTGTCTGTGTTGACCAGGTGTGTCTGTGTTGACCGGGTGTGTCTGTGTGTACCAGGTGTGTCTGTGTTGACCAGGTGTGTCTGTGTTGACCAGGTGTGTCTGTGTTGACCAGGTGTGTTCGTGTTGACAGGTGTGTTTGTGTTGACCAGGTGTGTTTGTGTTGACCAGGTGTGTTTGTGTTGACCAGGTGTGTCTGTGTTGACCAGGTATGTTTGTGTTGACCAGGTGTGTTTGTGTTGACCAGGTGTGTCTGTGTTGACCAGGTGTGTCTGTGTTGACTAGGTATGTTTGTGTTGACCAGGTGTGTTTGTGTTGACCAGGTGTGTTTGTGTTGACCAGGTGTGTCTGTGTTGACCAGGTATGTTTGTGTTGACCAGGTGTGTTTGTGTTGACCAGGTGTGTTTGTGTTGACCAGGTGTGTCTGTGTTGACTAGGTATGTTTGTGTTGACCAGGTGTGTTTGTGTTGACCAGGTGTGTCCGTGTTGACCAGGTGTGTTCGTGTTGACCAGGTGTGTTTGTGTTGACCAGGTGTGTTTCTGTTGACAGATGTGTTTATGTTGACCAGGTGTGTTCGTGTTGACATATGTGTGTTTGTGTTGACCAGGTGTGTCTGTGTTGACCAGGTGTGTTTGTATTGACCATGTGTGTCTGTGTTGACTAGGTGTGTCTGTGGTGTCCAGGTGTTTATGTTGACCAGGTGTGTGATTGTGTTGACAGGTGTGTCTGTGTTGACCAGGTGTGTTCGTGTTGACCAGGTGTGTTCGTGTTGACCAGGTGTGTTTGTGTTGACCATGTGTGTTTCTGTTGACAGATGTGTGTTTATGTTGACCAGGTGTGTTCGTGTTGACAAATGTGTGTTTGTGTTGTCCAGGTGTGTTTGTGTTGACCAGGTGTATCTGTGTTGTCCAGGTGTGTTTGTATTGACCAGGTGTGTTTGTGTTGACCAGGTGTGTTTGTGTTGACCAGGTGTGTTTATGTTGACCGGGTGTGTCTGTGTTGACAGGTGTGTTTGTATTGACCAGGTGTGTTTGTGTTGACCAGGTGTGTCTGTGTTGACCAGGTGTGTTTGTGTTGACCAGGTGTGTTTGTGTTGACAGATATGTGTTTGTGTTGACCGGGTGTGTTTGTGTTGACCGGGTGTGTTTGTGTTGACCAGGTGTGTTCGTGTTGACAGATGTGTGTTTGTGTTGACCAGGTGTGTTCGTGTTGACCAGGTGTGTTTGTGTTGACCAGTTGTGTCTGTGTTGACAGGTGTGTTTGTGTTGACCAGGTGTGTCTGTATGCCAGGTGTGTCTGTGTTGACCAGGTGTGTCTGTGTTGACCAGGTGTGTCTGTGTTGACCAGGTGTCTGTGTTGACCAGGTGTGTCTGTGTTGACCAGGTGTCTGTGTTGACCAGGTGTGTTCTCGGTATGTTGTGTTGACATGCTCTCTATGTTCACCAGGTATTTGGTCCTCCAAGCAGGCAAAGGAGGCGACTGTCAACACCATAGACGTCAACCCCAACAAGACCGTCATCGCCATGGGAGATAACAACGGCTGCCTTAGCCTCTTCAGATACCCCTGTCCCAAAGATGGGGTAGGTGGTGTCTACAATCTCCTTGAAATCAGATCCTAGTTCCCGCTACCGCTAAACAAAGTTCTCAGGACATTCCATTATAGTTCGGGGCGGTCGGGTAGCCTAGTGGTTAAAGCGTTCGCTCGTCACGCCGAAGACCCGGGTTCGATTCCCGACATGGGTACAAGGTGTGAAGCCCATTTCTGGTGTCCCCCGCCGTGATATTGCTGGAATATTGCTAAAAGCGGCGTAAAATCAAACTCAATCAATCCATTATAGTTCACGTTGCTCATTTAGACCGACCAATCAAATGACTAACAAGAAGTCGACATTAGCCAATCTGAATGCAGCTTTTTCCAGCCTGGTTCCCTTGGTATGCTGCGCTGGCGCTACACTGACCCAGGCAATGACTGCACAATGGCCGCCTCCACTAGGCGAACGAACATGGCGGACACGACATGTATTTACTATTGAAAAACGCTAGAACGGGTGGTTGAATGTTTTTCTTAGCATTTTCATCAACGCTGTTTAGAGACTCGAAAGTGGCCGTCACATCGGTGAAATGTAAACAATGACACAGACCCCATTTTCAACAGTGATATGTGCGTTAATATTTCGTGTCAGCTCACTGTTGTCACGAAATCGTACACATAATACATGGAATTAAGCCACTATGTCAATAAAATACCGTTAGCATCTTTATTGTAGCAAATCTGATAACACAAATGTCGCCGATTATGCCCCGTTTTCTCCCATTGTAAAGTGGTGGGTTTCGTGGAGTTATTGAACGCCCACTATAATGACGAGAAAAAAACAAACACTTTGCAAGAGTATTGATGATGATGCGTGTCCGCCATGTTTGTTCGTCGAGTGGAGAAGGCGATTGTGCAGTCATTGCCTGGGTCAGTGTAGCGCCAGCGCAGCATACCTAGGGAACCAGGCTGAGCTTTTTCCAGTTTTACGGCACTAGTTCCAAACTGGCGAGTTCCATACGGGACTATGCTTTGACAAATATATTAATTTGAAAATTAACAATAGGACATTCTGGAATGTCTAATAGATGGCCGAAATTGTACGGCAATACTTCCCATGGGGTATGGACAGCTTCCTACGTTTCAAATGTTTAACCCAGATGATGTTGACGGGATGCGTCGTTCATCCTGTAATTGTCGTTCGGAATACCCGTGTTATCCTTTTTCCGAGGTTGCATGATTAGAAAACGCATTTCGACAGTCACTTCACCGATTTGGTTAGCGACTCACTGATTGGTCGGATGAAAGTTCGTTCTGACGTGACCCGTAATGGGATGTCCTCAGATCTTTGTTTGGTGGTTGCGGGAGCTTTGATCTGATTTTAATAAGATTGGTTGTATTCACTAATACCATGTAAATGAACGAGCAAGTGGTTGTTGTACAGCTGCCACCGATACGCGGGGTACCGTCAGCATCGGGAGTGGGAGTATGACACATTTCAGTTTAAATATGTATGTAATATAAAGGTAGAAAACAAACATATTATGAAAACAAAACTAGTCACATGTTTTCACAACAATGTTGTTGTTGTTTGTTGTTTAACGCCGCACTCAGCAATATTCCAGCTATATGACGGCGGTTTGTAAATAATCGAGTCTAGACCAGACAATCCAGTGATTGACATCATGAATATCGATCCACGCAATTGGGATACGATGACATGCATCAACCAAGTCAGCGAGCCTGACCAGTCGATCCCGTTAGTCGCCTCTTACGACAAGCATAGTCGCCTTTTACGTCAAGCATGGGTTACTGTAGACCTATTCTACCCCGGATCTTCACGGGTCTTTCCCAACAATGACTTCCATCTACACGGAAATGGGTCAACGTTTTACCGCAGCGAAATGCTGCATGGGAAAAAAGATCGGACAGATCGAAACTGGTATCATCACTCTGTTGTTGTTTTTTCCCAAAATGAGTTAACATTTTGAGATTTAAAAAAAAAGGTTTTGGATGTATACATGTATGACGGTTCTAACAATAGGCTTGACTCGGAAAGCATATTAGTTCGTAATTGTGTTGCGGAAATTAGCTCCATTGTACGCATGCTGATGCATCCATGAATGCATGCGTTTCCGTACGCTATATAATTGAAAGTACTTGGATTTTGAATACTTTTGGAGAGTATTTTTTCGCAAATACGCAGCTTATATGTAGCTCTGATGACATATACAGTAAAGTACGGTTATAACGAACTCAAAGGGACTACTAATTTCTGTTCGTTATAACCGTAGTTCGTTATAAGCATATATACAGTATAACTACAGCAGTTAGTCGGGACAAAATAGTAAGTTCGTTATATCCGTCAGTTCGTTATAACCGTGTTCGTTATAACCGTAGTTTACTGTACCTGTTTATGTGCATGTTGCAGGCTTTCAGCCACACCTACAAATGCCACCTGAACGTCCAGACCGTGAGGTTCTCCCCCAGCGGCAAGTACGTCCTCACCATCGGCGGGCGCGACTCCTGTGTCATGCAGTGGAAGATTGTATAGAACAAACACAGTCAAGTGACTTTGTCTCGACACGTTATTCTTACGTATCATCTATAATAAGAACTGTAGGTCCCAATTGTCCTGAACCAAACAGCATCTATCTTAGCATTAGCCCATGGTTCTATATATACGTGCATTCCCTCACCGCCTTGAAACACACACATTAAACATCATCTGTCTTCAAATTAGCCCATGGTCCTACATTACGTTGTCCCTCCTTGAAACACACTTAAGTTACTTTGTGTGTTCATGGGAAGAAAAAGATTATTCATGATCATTTATCTGGAAATAAGCCCCCCTACACAAGTCCCTCAGTCTTGCAACAGGCTTTTGATCGTGTCACAGTGATCCCTTTGCCAAGGAAACAAATATTCATGTCGTGATTATTTTGACATATGATTGTGAATACCTTCCTGGTCCTTATTCCAAAAAGTCCCCATCTCTAAAGTCCACTCACCAAAGTGAGGGAGGTTTTACGCCGCTTTTAGCAATATTACAGCAATATCACGGCAGGGGAAGACCAGAAATGGGATTTACACATTGGGGAATCGAACCCGGGCCTTCGGCTTTAACCACTAGGCTACTCCACCGCCCCTATAGCTCTAAGACAACTTATGGACAATGTATGCTTGGTCCAATAAGGCACGAAGAAGCTCTACTTTGTATCAATCTTTCCAATTATTATTAATGGAAACAGAATCGGACACACTTAAGTACAGATGAACAGTCAGAACTAAACATCCTGACAACAGATGAACTGTCAGAACTAACATCCTGACAACAGATGAACAGTCAGAACTAACATCCTGACAACAGATGAACTGTCAGAACTAACATCCTGACAACAGATGAACAGTCAGAACTAAACATCCTGACAACAGATGAACAGTCAGAACTAAACATCCTGACAACAGATGAACTGTCAGAACTAACATCCTGACAACATATGAACTGTCAGAACTAACAACCTGACAACAGATGAACTGTCAGAACTAAACATCCTGACAACAGATGAACTGTCAGAACTTAACATCCTGACAACAGATGAACAATCAGAACTAAACATCCTGACAACAGATGAACTGTCAGAACTTAACATCCTGACAACAGATGAACAATCAGAACTAAACATCCTGACAACAGATGAACTGTCAGAACTTAACATCCTGACAACAGATGAACTGTCAGAACTTAACATCCTGACAACAGATGAACTGTCAGAACTAAACATCCTGACAACAGATGAACTGTCAGAACTTAACATCCTGACAACAGATGAACTGTCAGAACTAAACATCCTGACAACAGATGAACAATCAGAACTAAACATCCTGACAACAGATGAACTGTCAGAACTTAACATCCTGACAACAGATGAAATGTCAGAACTAAACATCCTGACAACAGATGAACTGTCAGATCTAAACATCTTGAGAACAGATGAACAGTACAGGAACACAAACAGGCCATTGAGCTGACACCGAATCTTGTCAGTGGTAGCTAACAGATGAACCCCCATACTTTGTGTCCCTTTACAGATGCAGTTTACAGATCAACATAAACGTTGCTATCACTTCTCTTCCTAGTGTCAAAGTGAAAATTCATTTCATTTTGTGTTTCTATGCTGACAGTGCTGCACCTCTAGTTATACCATACTGAAGCCAGAGTGACCGTGTTATCGTCTGTTATGAACAGTTATACACCGGTGAATATTACCGCATATCCTCTGTGTGTACTTGTATCACAGTGTGTAACACTACATGCTGTCCATCATCATCTAGTGACCTCTCCATTGTCAACCTCAATGATCCAGTGTATAATCTTCATTCTCTGCTGACCGCCTCCGTGGTCTAGTGGTAGAGCGTCCGCCCTGAGAGCGGAAAGTCCGGGGTTCGATCCCCGGCCGCGTCATACAAAAGACGTTAAAAGTTGGTACTTGTTGTTACCCTGTCTAGAACTCGGCATTAATGGGCTAAAACAAGGACTGGTCGGGTCGGAGTCGGTATACCGTGTCTGAGAGGGGTATTCATGTTAAACTGCGGCATGGTATCTCAGTGGGCTAGCACTATAAATCGGCATCAGTCCGGACCAGTACAAGCAGCCACACACACGTATGATGCACGTCGCTATATAAATGCAATAACCTACGACGCGACGTTAAACCCAATTTCACCTCCTCATTCTATTTTAACTGGGGGCACGGGTGGCCCAGTCGTTTAAGGCGCCGCGATTCGCTGTGCAGAGTTGCGTCCCTTGGACACGCCAGAAACCTATGATTGTGGGTTCGAATCCCGGTTCTCCCCAATTATGTTTCTAGGTTTATCAGCACCATACGTCTGAGACCTGCATCACTTCGGGCTTTCCTCCCACATCAAGCTGACACGCCTTGATATAACTGGAATAATGTTAAAACCGGTGTTAAACCCAACTCACTCACTCACTCACTCACTATTTTAACTTCAGGCTTTCCTCAAGCTGACACGCCGTGGCATAACTGGAATGCTGTTTGCCACTATAGCTCCGTGTGGATGTCACCAGTTCAATCTCTCCTATCACTAACTTAGCGGGGCGGTCGGGTAGCCTAGTGGTTAAAGCGTTCGCTCGTCACGCCGAGGACCAGAGTTCGATTCCCGACATGGGTACAATGTGTGAAGCCCATTTCTGGTGTCCCCCGCCGTGATATTGCTGGAATATTGCTAAAAGCGGCGTAAAACCATACTCACTCACTCACTCACTAACTTTACTCTTGCCCATGAGCCTTCGATTTATGTAATCGAACAGAAAACTGACGTTAATAGAAAGTCATTGGTCTCTGGAATGACGTTATAACGCAACCTTCATAAAGGTGAACCATGAAATGCCGCCACGATTGAAATAATTAATGTTTGCTCCAATGACTGGACCGGACTAAAACAAAGGCAAATGGGTCCAAGATGTATTTAATGTTTGTTTGTTGTTTGTTTGTTGTTTAACGCCACACTCAGCAATATTCCAGCTATATGACGGCGGTCTGTAAATAATCGAGTCTGGACCAAACAATCCAGTGATTGATATCATGAGCATCGATTTACGCCATTGGGATCGATGACATGCATGAATCAAGTCATCTTGACCACCCGATCCCGTTAGTCGCCTCTCACGACAAGCATAGTCGCCTTTTACGGCAAGCATGGGTTGCTGAAGACCTATACTACCCCGGATCTTCACGGGTCCGATCCCGTTAGTTGCCTCTTACGAAAAGAATAGTCGCCTTTTATGTGTTCCTAAAGACCGATACTCTACCCGGTTCTTCACGGATCGTATGTGTAATAATAGAATTGAGGCATGATACACTGGATAATCGAGGTAGGCAATGTATAGTGTGATGTACATAGTGTGAATAAACTATAATGCTAATGATGCCTTGTCTTGTGTGAGGGAACTTCACGCTGGAGATCCATGGGACACACCAGGCAGTGTCGCTTGTCATCGTGTGCCTTGATATGAGACCTGTGGGAGAGGCCTTCAGATAAGCGAAATTTGCTTGTTTGCCAATCCCTCCACTTTATGGAAATAAATATGTTTATATCATATGGGACCTGTGACTGACCTGGAGAGTGACTGACGCAGCGGGGTGGTGGTGACTGACGCAGGGGGAAAGTGTTGACTGACGCAGGGAGTTGGTGGTGACTGACCCAGGGGGTTGGTGGTAACTGACGCAGGGAGTGGTTGTGACTGACGCAGGGGGTGGTGGTGACTGACGCAGGGGGAAAGTGTTGACTGACGCAGGGAGTTGGTGGTGACTGACGCAGGGGGATGGTGGTGACTGACGCAGGGAACTTTTAGGTAGTGAGTTTGGGTTTACTCCGCTTTTAGCAATATTCCAGCAATATCACGGCGGGGGACACCAGAAATGGCCTTCACACATTGTACCCACGTCGGGATTCGAACCCGAGTATTCGGCGTGACGAGCGAACGCTTTAACCACTAGGCTACCCGACCGCCCCCGTGAACATTAAAAACACCCGTAATAAAATGTATTCATCTTACTTATAAATTAATTCTCACCTGCCTCTTGGAATGTAGTTTGACACCTAACGTCACGTCTGCTTGCATTAACGCGCACCATAAACTCGCGCAACGGAAGTGAGTGTCGACTTGTAACCATGACATCACGTGACGTTGCTGCATGCAATATACACGTACAACGCAAGCATCAACCCTGACATTTGTTTTGGTAAGAGTCTGAGACGACAGGACGGCTCAACGTTTAAGGGCGTATCATCACATTGATCAGTAAAATGAACAGTTTTGTCTTCGAAGTAATATAGTATATATGGGGTATATTTGGTATATATCTTTGGGGGTAGCATCGGTAACGGTGTCAAGTCACTGGATTGGTATTGTGCGATTTTCGTCTACACTATTTTGAATTTGAACAAACATTTCACCTGAGCATTGCTTTTTTATCGCCATGTTAAAGTCAATGTGTAAAATGACTTAACATTTTCACTATGGCAATTTATTAAACACCAAAATATTCAGTTAGTTTACAAATTGACTGATATATCTGTCCATGTGTTTTATTTTTTCATGTTTAATCTCATCACCCAGACACAGAAATTTTTTGATAGGATTAAAAGGAAACGAAACCTAAACCTTGCATTATTAGCATATTGTGATTTCTGAAGCTCCTTTGAACGTCTTAATATGTTTTTAGTCAATCTGTTAAATAAATAGACAGTTCTTCAATCAATTTGACATTTTATAAATTGCCTGAGTGAATCACATTTTACACATTGACTGTAACCTATACACTCCTACAAACGCACTTAACGCCCAGGTATGGGTGTATTCCGTCTGCTTTAGTAAACCTACACATGTAAACACTTACTTTTGACAAATCGACTGTGCAAGATAACAGTATTTTCGGTTAATCCTTTGATGGATATTTTTTTTGTAACTCAACACTCTTGCTGCGCTGTCACGTGCATATAACATAAGATACATCCCCCCCCCCCCCCCCCCCCCCCCCCACACACACACACTTCAATCTAAGTGAATAATTCACAGGAAACGAGAAATGCCAAATGGGAACCTTTGTCAGGTAGTCACGACTAATTACACCTGTAATAAATTCATTAACTGAGCATCAAGCGATTGACGACAAATACACAGGTGTGGGGTTATACCAGAAAACATGGATAACAACAAGGGGGTAGTAATCGTATTATCCACGCAATCCGAAATCCGAAAATGCTTTCACAGCCGTGATACTTTATTAAATAATAACCATCAGGGGTATTTCCAAATAACGACATCCGATGAGCTTCCGTTCTTCTTTTTGTTTAGGTGGAAGAAATTACTTAACATGCGCCCTTGATACTATCGAAATCTTCATAGATCACGGGTAACCAATCAGTGTTCAGACATGCGTGGAGATCGTGCGCCAAAGTTTATTCACGGTGTCCTGACAGAAAGTGGCCCAGTCTCTTGTTACGCTCAGTTGCGCTAGCGAGCAAATCGACTCACAGCAGATAGGACCCGTGAAGATCCGAAGTAGAATATGTCTTTAGCAACCCATTCTTGCCGTAAAAGGCGACTATGCTTGTAGTAAGAGGCGACTAACGGGATCGGGTGGTTAGGCTCACTGACTTGGTTGATGTATGTCCAAATTTTAAAAAAAAATTCCAATTGTGTAAATCGATGCTCATGATGTCACTCACTGGATTGTCTGGTCCAGACTCTATTATTTATAGACCGCTGGAATATAGCTTGAATATTGCTGAGTGCGGCGTTAAACAACAAACAAACACAGCAGATAATTTGTCCGATCGGCTTGTGTTAGACAGCCGGAAAGAAGCCAGAGATTAGTGCCCATCGTCATGCCAAAGGTCCATTCGTGACCAACTCGTGTTATTCCGGGAGAAGCCGAAGGTGTCCCCAGCGATATGGCTGAAAAGTGCTAACAGCACCGATAA